TTTGAACTTCCCCCTTTTGCTACTTTCCTCATTGTTTTGTTCAACAGATTCACGTAAGTTCGTAAGGAATGCATGCTGACGATCTACAGGCTCACTTTTCCAGAAGTTACTCAAGGCTCAGTCGAATTATTTTGACTCTGCCACGGTCTGGGTTCAAATCTTATTGCGTTAATATGGGCGTGGACATTTTGCCAGACCACATGCTCAGCACTAATAAAGTGGGGGACAGTTCAACTATGTTGGTGGCTGTCGGGAGACGGGCTGCACGGCTACGGAGAGTTGATCATCAGATGCATTACCGCGAACTTCTTCACAGATTTGGAGTCTTGGCGGTGTAATACAGCCGCATTAGGTCGCTCTTTGGTCGTGTTCGTATCAATTTCTCAATCCTGGAAGAAAGCCAGTCAAACAAATGAAACGAGAGCTAATTTTTTTCCCTCTCAGTCGATATTCGCAGCTACGCCGTTCCGATGATGTGGAGTGTGCGTAAGTGCAGAATGGTATGTGCGGTCGAGGGCTCAGTCTTAGCAATACATATATGTTGCCACTCACTTCTTCTTGTCTGCCAACCTTCATTCACCTTGCACCACATACTGCCCATATTCTCATCACTATCCGAAAACATATCCAGCGAAGCATGTCAGCACTATCTCCAATCCCAGTCTGCATCGTCGGTTTCGGCAATTCAGCACGAACCTTTCACATTCCTTTCATCACTGCCTTGCCTCAACTTTTCACCCTTCACTCGATCCAACAACGCCCTCGAACGGCCTCCAACTCTTCCTCTCCCGATGCCTCTAAACTCTACCCCAACCTGACCGTCATCCCTGATTTTGACTCTGTTCTCACCACGCTTCCCAAAGGTGGCCTTATCATTGTTACCACAACTAACGACACCCACTATCCTTTCGCCAAACGTGCGCTCGAATCGGGCTTTAACGTGCTCGTCGAGAAACCTGTCGCAACCAACTCCTCTGACGTGCAAGCTCTCATCGATTTGCAGGAGAAGTCCGGCAAGCTTTGCGCTGTTTACCAGAACAGGAGATTCGATGGAGACTTCTTGACCATCCAGAGCTTGCTTTCGGATCAAGGAACGGAGCCTTCTGCTTTGGGCGTGCCTACATACTTTGAATCGAGGTTCGACAGGTTCAGACCCTACGCCAAGGGCGGATGGAGGGAGGAGGTCGACCCCGATACTCAAGGTGGAGGTATGCTTTGGGATTTGGGAAGTCATCTGATTGACCAGGCTTTGTTCCTCTTCGGTCCACCGGAGAGCGTTACCGGCTTCGTGAGGAACCAGCGTAACCAGGGTCCCAACGCTGTGGATGATGACTGGTTGGCAATCTTGAACTACCCTTCCAGCGCGCCACTGCCTCCCTCCTCTCCTGCGGCAGGGAGCAGGATCGGTGGCCTCCGCGTCTCGCTCGGTGCCACCTGCCTAAGCTCGCATGTGGATGCCGAACAGCCCCGGTTCCGCATAGAAGGAACCCGTGGAGCTTATGAGAAGCGCGGAACCGATCCTCAAGAGGACCAGCTCAAGGCAGGCTGGACACCATCTAGCCATCCTGAAGAGTTTGGAGTCTACAGCGACACTTCCGACCCCGACACAGTCAGGCTTGGAAGGCTGACGACGATGGTGAGGAGTGACGAAGATCTGGCCATCCCAGCGACTGGAGGAGCCACACCAACTCAGCCCAAATTGAGCGTGGCCAACATCCCCACTCTGCCAGGAAGGTATATCGATCTGTTTGCGAATGTAGCCAATGCCATCAATGCTGGGCTGGAGGCGGAGAAGCAAGGCAAAAGTCCAGCTGAGGCGCTGAGGCAGGTGAGCTTGGTCGGAGTCGAGAGGACGCTGAATGCGGTCAAATTGATCAAGCTGATTCGAGAGAGCAGTGTTCAGGGAAAGACGCTACAGTGGGCGTGACGTCAAAAGTAGCGATGCGAGTCGTGGCCGTTAGTTAACATGGAATGCATTCATCAAATGTATCATGGAGTTCGTGACTGAAGCGTTTATGTTTGAGTTTGGGTATCATCTGCTCCACCTGAATAGGGGAGATTAGTGTGTTCTCATAGCGTTCGTCAAGATCATGAGAAGTTGTCTCACAGAATCCCGGTGCGGGTCGGCTGTGCTGAGGATCGTTCAACGTCTAGAACAGTATCAATCACCCTTGGTTCGACGCTTGTAATCTTCGGGAGACTCGAACTTTTTGCCAAGTTTCCACATGCCCACCTTGCCCCTTTTCGCTTTTGCCTCTGCCCTCTCCAACGCATTCAATCCAGAGGTACTCTTGCGCCACACTTTGGCCCACCAAGTAGCTTGGCCGTACTCCGCGCCTGCCGCCCTGTATACTGTTGCGAGTCCTGCTTTCACCATTGCCAAAGACACGTTTGTCTTTCCAAGGATATATGGCGGTTCCCACACATAGGGTGTTGCGACCAGCCGTTTGTACTGATCGATATGGGAAGGGTAGAGCCAGACCAATTTTCTTGAAATATCACTGCCCAATGTGGAGCTTGGTGATGTAGTGACATTGTTTGAGCCGAAAAAGCTCTTCTTGGGTGGGGTGAGATTGTCGGGAGAGGACGGTGATTGGACCATTCTGATAAGAAATTCTTTTGCCTCTTTGGAAAAAGGTTGGGCTGGTTTGCCGAAATGAGCACTTTCGGGAGCATCAACACCGGCAATTCGGACACTGATCGTCTCTCTTACGAGCTTCGTCCTGCCTGCCCCTTTCTTTGTGGTTCGAGGTGGCCAAGGATAGAGCCAGTCGCGGAGAATTGGTGGACCGGGAGTGTGGTGAAATCTAAACCCGTCTGCGTCGCCTACAGTGACTACTCGACCTATGAGCGCCTTCCGATACCGTAGCACTGCTGGTGTGACGTACTCGGCTGTAGGGATTCTTCGAAAATAGCGCCACCATAGGATGGCACAGAGAGAGGTTGTGGAGATGCCGGTAATGGCGGCACCAACGGGATTCGAGAGGACTGTGGAGAGGACATCGGAGGATTGTTCGACGACTGACCAGACAGTGATTTTTCTCGGAGAAGACGAAGCGGATGGTGAAATGAGTTGAGATGTGGTTATCATTTTGTCTATGAGGTGCTGGGCCGATTCAGTTGCATTGATAGAGGAAGAGGATGGGAGATAGCTATGAGTAGATGTGGACGGTTTTGGATCTGACCTTACCGGAGTTGGGCAAAGAGATATCATCGCTCGCGCCTCGTCTCTATCTGGGAATCTTGCTTTAGCGGGATGGTTTGACTTTAAAGCGTTGTGGTGGTGGTAATGAAGAAGACGATGATGATGAAAGGGGACGGGGATGTGTAGGTGATGATGAAAAATCGAGGCGGAAATGGTACAGTATTCTGTTTGGTGTGGAGTTTGGCAGTAGTTATGCACACTAAACACAGCCTAATTTGACAAATTGGCACGAATCAACACGCCAAAGTCAACACGCACAACCTCAGAACCAGCAGCCTGCTTCGAGACCAACACCTTGGACGCGTCCTTTCACCCAGCTGCAATCTCACCATCCTCGTAGCACTCTTTTCATCACTCTTCTACTCCAGCGTTCACAGCCACTGGCCTTTGCAATTTAATTCTAAAACGAGAAGCCGTCACGTTTCCATGAAACAAATGAAGGTACAGGGTTGATAGGTGGTACTGGCGCAGAGTGTCTAATCGAGCTTTCTAGCTCCACGACCCTTGCCGGGTCCATGTGTGCTGACAGTAAAAGGCTCGAAACTGGGTGCAACACCACCACCTCCGATCTTCTCACCATCTCTTTTTTTCTGTTCTTCCAGCGCCCTGTCACCATTCCAGTAGTACACTACTTGAGCGGCGATGGCAGCGTTGAATAGCGTTGCCAATCCGAATCCGTACAGCAACAGCTTGTCGTCTGTCTCTGTCATGGTGGTAAACACCCTTGCAATGGTACCGAGTAGTTGTGCGAAAACAACGATGCTACTGAGCTGACCGCGGCTCTTATCTTTGTACAGCTCTGCCATTTGGGGTACCTTACTGGCAAGAGAAATGGGAATAGTGAGTGCTTGAAGGAAGGTTAGGGTCGAAGCAGGGATAACCGATGGGGTGGCTAATGCGAGCGAGCCGATCGCCATGAGTGCTGCCGCCACGGTGATCCTTGTCGAGTGGGCAGCAGGATCGACACGACCAGTCTTGCTATCAGCCGTGTACGCAATGACGAGCAGCAAGATAATCATGTTCTGCAAAGTCAAGCTGAGGTTCTCTCCATATGTCGAAAATGGTAACCTCGACCTCACCGCATAGGCCAGCGAGATGGTGTACGCCAACACTTCCAGCGTATACATCGAAAGAGAGATGCCTCTTGCACTACGACCATTGACAATATTGAGGATCTGAGGCACCTTCATGATACTCCCAAACACCACAATACCCAGACCGAGCGCTTTAGAGATGGCATACTTCACGCAGTGGGTGGAACTGAGATCGACATTGTAGATAAGAGTCGTATAACATTCTTGGCCGATGAGAGCGATAGCGGGCTTCTGGATGAAGACGGGGAGGTTGTGAGTGACCGATTGAATGGCCGACTGCATCTTGGCCAACTGTCAGACGAGGAAATGGAAACGTGTGGGGAAAAGGCCGTCGCGACAGTCTTGAAGTCGCCGCTGAGATCAAGTGGTCAGTATCAGTGTTGACGGACCAAGTCAGCGTAGTTATGACTATGTGTGAGCTCGGTCACAAAACTAATCCGGACGAATGCGTCTAAGTGATCGAGTGATTGAGCGTAGACGGCAAGTAACTTCAGGGCCCAAGGTGGATTTCGTGATGGATGCAGAGATGGTCAAAGCGTTGCGTGCAGGCTGGTTGGTTTTAGCCACGATATTTCAACGCAATTTACTCATCTTCGAGTATGTGCATCACAACTGCACCTTTTCGCTCTCGCTCTTCCTCCAACCCTTTTGGCGCCGACATTTTCGAATCATGTCAAACCGACGAAATTACCGCAAAAAAGTAGCTTCTGTCGGTTTCGATCCGACGACCTTTGGGTATCACCACTCGAAAGTGGAAAGGATGTTTCATAGGCAAATGTATGAGCCCAACGCGCTACCTACTGCGCTAAGAAGCTCCTTGATACACCTTGGAAACGGATAGAATATATATTCCGTCAACTGAAGATATCGGCTTCCATGTGAAAGCTTTCGAGACAAAAACATCGCTAAAAGTCACACTGGAAGTGCTCTGAACACGATTTCCTATCAATACACCACATCGTTTGACTCAGCTCGGATTTCTTTCTCAGTCATCCCAAACAGAAGACGGCGATATCAGCTCGCACTATCTCTCAGAGTGTCAGCAGAGCAATCCGAGCCAAACCCGTCAAGATGACATACACGCGCGACCCTCACGATGTGTCATCTTTGACGGTCTTCTGAGCGCACTAACAACGTCGATCCTCTTTCAGTTTTTCATCCGATGCTCCACTTTACCTTCTAATGGCAGTCATCAACTTGCCCTTCCTCGCCGTAGGGTCAGTGCGCTTCGAAAAGGACATTCAGGACATCATCGATGGTTACCGAAGAACGGCAACGTCTACACCCAGGCACGCGCATCGGCTCAATCAGCCCGCTCGGACCCCATCTCGGTCTCTCAGAGTTAGAGTCAACAGCTCAGACCAAACTCGCCGGATCACTTGAGAGCTGCCAATGCCTTTTTGTGCGAGGGATTCAAGAGACAGGGTGCGCGAAAGCACCAACATATCATATATAACACTAGAAAGAGGAACCCGAGACAGCTGAGTTGGCAGGCCATCTAAGTTACCGCAGCAGTCAAAGGTTCATCACAAGTGACGGACAGCGCAAAATTCAGGGGGGTCTCTTCTTCAAGCTTAGCATTACAGCCTCTGAGTAAAGTACCATTAGGGACCGAATGCTGCGAATAAGCCGACTGCTGATTCAACGTTGCAAAGATGACCCGAGACGAGCGCATGGACGGGATCGGTGGCTTTGACCAGTTTGAGTGTTCTCGAGGTAACTCATGCGACTTTCACTTGACTGACAAAGTCTGCAAAACATACGCCTGATCATGGCTCAGATGCTACGCCTCCGTAAAGCTCTGGAACTATGCCAGGCGAGGAGAAACGCAGTGTCGCCAGCAAAGCCGTGGTGAGCAAGCTTGTAACGGCGAAAGACGCAGATGGAAGCTGTGACACTGTTACCAAGCAGGAACTGCATCGCAAGAAGTCGGCGTTGAAATATACTACTGCTGCGATTTACTCTCTGGACACGACACTCAGCATCGTCAGCTCCCAATGGGCCCTCGAAAGCGTCTGCGAAGTTTCAGCTGAGCCTCGAAAGCATAAAAAGGATCGACAAATCTTTCGACAGCCCCTTTCCCTCTTTCTTTCCCTCACTCCCTCGTCCATTCGCCATTCTATCCAACCTTTCTTCTACATCTCCGATCTCTCAACTCATTCGACAATCCCACAGCCATCTATCGCCACAATGACTCGCATCTCTTCTGCTCTGATTGTGGCCGCCGTTTTGGCCTTTATGGCCTCGGCCACTCCTGCTTCCACCGCCGCGGTTCTTCCCACTCGCGATGTGGCTGACCAAGATCTCTTGATCCCCTACGATTGGGTTGCCAAGCGCAATGTGAACGAGGAAAATGTTGCCGACACTACCAACGAGGCTACTGCGACCGATACTTCGGACAACACGCAAGCTACCGATCAATTCGGCCGTTGCCCTTGGGGGATGCGATGGGACCCGTGGCAGCGACGCTGCGGGGGCCAGTGGCAATCCGGTCCTCCCTGGCGCCCAGGTCCACCTTGGCGTCCTGGCCCTTGGTGGCAGAGCCGCGACGAAAACGATCATGATCACGACCACATGAAGCGTGATGTCGACAAGATCGAGCCTCGCGCAGAAGATGCCCAAAACATCGAGAACGCCGACGCTCAGTATGGACCTGGCCGCGGCTATGGTGGTGGTCGTGGCGGCTACGGAGGAGGCTATGGTGGGTACGGCGGGTATGGTGGTCGTGGCGGTTACGGAGGAGGCTATGATGGGTACGGCGGATACGGTGGTCGTGGCGGATACGGCGGAGGTTATGGGGGAAGGTATGGTGGTGGTCGTCGCTACTGAGGCGAACTGAGATTGGCTAGGCCACCGACTTGATCCTCACGCTCGCCCATCGCCGGCCCTTTCATGCAACTCGTGGATGCGGTCGGTTCGTTTCCGGCTCTGTTCACTTGTTATTGATCGCGCATTCCGTTTTAACACCTTTCCATGCCATCTCCTTTTCCCTCTGATCCCATCCTGTTGTGACGATACTTTGCGATTTCGTTGTGACTCGGCTCGGCTCTGCAGGTCTCGCACCTTGTACCCGCGTGCATGACATCTCGACCATATTGTATCCTTTTCGACTTCAATTCACAACTTTGTTCTCTCTCCGACGATCTCATGTGATTTACTTGTCTTGCCGCCTGTCGAGCTTGTCGACTATTGCCGTCGTAGATGAGTGGAACAGCTTCATGCTTTGTGTTTGCGCCTCATCTCCGGAAGACCGAGGATAGGGTCGGTTCAGAGTGGGTTGCGATGCGATTGAGGCGGAGAATGAGATTGATGGACAACTTTGGGGTCGAGGCGTCTGCGGGTGGCTCATTTGCAAACACATCTGATTTTGAGCGGTTCTTGCAAGGGCAAAGTGTGCAGAGTCGTCACGCGTCGACGCCGAAGCTGATGCTGCTGTACAGCATGATTTGCTGCAAAGATCCGTGACTGCAAAGACAGTACAAATCGTAAGCTTTCGTTGAAAGCAGACCGCCTCGTTTGAGCGTCTCATGCTCGGTTTTGGATTGTGTGCCGAGGTGGAGATGGTACCATGTCGTATGGCTGTATGTTGGCAGGGCAGAGCATTGTTCGCTTCATTAGATTTTAGCGCACAAACATCGCGCGACGTGACGATGAAAAGGGTGGTGTCCGTGCACACTGTGATGATGAAAACCGGACAGCATCCGTGCAACAAGAACAGCGGCTTGCATGATGCGTCGGAGTCGGGGCCATACGTGCCAGTGAAGTTTGAGCAAGTCCAAGGTCGCGGTTGCATATACCATGGGATGAGGTCGCACTAGATCTCGGTTGGATCGCATTCATCTGTCACCTCTGCAGGATGCAATAGAACATCGCAAATGCTGTGCTTTAGGCGTCGCTTGCGGATAATGAAGCTGGCAGAGAAAACACTCCTTCCCGTTTCATAAAATCGTTTCACATAGGATCGTGCCAAGACGTAGCGAGGACCTTCTCAAACGGCGGTTCGTGCCTACCACTGCGGCACACTAGATTGATGATGAGACTTCCCAGCGCTGAGATGAAGTGCAAACAAGCTAGTCAAGCTTTGCTTAACGTAGGGATTCCGGAGACGATGGCAGAAAAAGGAAAGGCGATCAGAATTTGCCACGAGAAGAGTCTTTGCGATGAAGTCGTCCAGACTAGCTCAAGTTCGTTAGCAAGCCAGTCACGCTTTGCTTTTCAAAGACAAGCTCTATGAGAGTGTCGAAGACGACAAGCTCTATGAGAAAGCCATAGAGCTTTGCTACAGAGACCGCCTTCGACTCTCGGATGCATATATACCGAACCACTCGAGTCGACTGGTAATAACCTTGAACCGTCAATCTCACAAACAACTTTCCCCAACTCCCCAAACAATTTTTCTTCTAGATTTCTTCCCTGGTATCTCAAGACTCCGATTCTAAACTCTTCATAACCCTTCTCGAAAACCGACGTCGTTCAGAATGACACGTATCTCTTCCGCCCTTCTCTTGGGCGTCATCCTCGCCATCAGCGGCAGCACCGCTTTTGCTAAGCCTCTTGTCCACGATCCTATCATCGTGTCTGACCATGCGGCTCCTGCCAAGCGCGAAGAAGCTGTTGTTCGCGCAGCTGAAGTGGAGAAGCGTAGCTCTGCCACCGAGGCTCCTGCTCCCGCTGTTGAGCTGGAGAAACGCACTTTTGGCCTCCTTGACGGCGGTCTTGGACTTGGTGCAGGCGCACACGTCGATCTAGGTGATCTTCACGTCGGCGCAGGTGCTCATGCTGGCTTGGGTTCCCCTTACGGTGATTACGGTCATAATTACGGTGGCTACCCTAGTTACTACGGTCCCTACGGTTCCTACGGTCCTGGTAGTCCTGGTGGATCGGGTAGCCCCGGCGGACCCTCTGGTGCGTCTTACTACCCCCCTTCTTCCCCTTACAAGAGTGGCGGATATAGCAGTTCGGGCGGTGGTGGTGGATCCGGCGGATCCGGCGGATCCGGTGGAGCTGGTGGAGCTGGTGGAGGAGGTGGAGGAGGTGGAGGAGGTGGAGCCGGTGGGGCTGGTGGAGCTGGTGGAGCTGGTGGAGCTGGTGGATCCGGCGGTGCCAGTGCTGATTGGGCCGCAAGGAGTCCACACAGTCAGGAAGATGGCCCTACTGGCTACGGTCCAAACGAGGGTCCTGGTGGTAGTCGCGGCGGTCCTGGTGGGCCTGGTGGGCCTAGTGGGCCTGGTGGACCCGGCGGCCCTGGCGGGGCTCATCCTAGGCCTCCTTATGGCGGATACCCGGGTGGCCATGACGGCGGTCACGGTCCTGCTACGGGTGATTGGGCCGGACATGGTGGTTGGAACGAACATGGCAGTTGGAGCGAGCATGGTGGCTGGAGCGATCATGTTGGTAAAAGGGGCTCTGGGGGTGCTCCTGGTGGTCCTGGTGGTCCTGGTGGTCCTGGTGGGCCTGGTGGACCCGGCGGCCCTGGCGGGGCTCATCCTAGGCCTCCTTATGGCGGATACCCGGGTGGCCATGACGGCGGTCACGGTCCTGCTATGGGTGATTGGGCCGGACATGGTGGTTGGAACGAACATGGCAGTTGGAGCGAGCATGGTGGCTGGAGCGATCATGTTGGTAAAAGGGGCTTTGGGGGTGCTCCTGGTGGTCCTGGTGGTCCTGGTGGGCCTGATGGACCCGGCGGCCCTGGCGGGGCTCATCCTAGGCCTCCTTATGGCGGATACCCGGGTGGCCATGACGGCGGTCACGGTCCTGCTACGGGTGATTGGGCCGGACATGGTGGTTGGAACGAAGATGGCAGTTGGAGCGA